GTGCGGTGGTGCGGGGGGGGGGGGGTGCCCCCTGATCTGTGCGCAGGGCAGGCTGGGGTCAGGGCAGCACTGGGCTTTTTTCAGCAGAGGTTTGGGCCGAGCTGCCTTTGGGGTGGGTGGTAGTGGTAGCGTTGGCTAGTTGGTCTTGCCACTCACCATATTTGGGATCAGGAAGGAATTTTATCTCATGGTCAGATTGGTATGGACTGCTGGAGGTTTTGACTTCCTCTGTAGCAGAGGGCATGCCCTTTACCCAGGACCTCTTGGGTGTATATAGACAGCATTGCCTGCTGAAGTTCCCCTACTTTACCTGTGACAGGTTAGGGTGTTAGGTCTATGTTGTGTCAGGGTTGATGGTAGTCTTATGTAGGGTTTAGCTTATGGTTGTATGGGATGGTTTGAATAGCGATGAGCCTACCTCAGGCAGGGGGTTGAACAAGATGACTGGTAGAGGCCCCTTGCAGTCCTATTTCTCTATAACCCTATTTCTTTATGACTCTATCACAAAAACCTTCAGGGCTGCTACCTGAGTTTCTGTACTCATGTTTACAGAGTACTACTCTCTTAACATTTATGTTAGTTATTCACTTTGGGGGAGGACAGTTTTACAATCCTCCTTTAATCACAACTTCTTAGGTCACCCCACTGAGGGTTGTAATGCTACTTGGACTGTCACAAGGGAAATGAAGAACCCAGCTTGAAAATGAAAAGGATTATGGTCAGTGCCTTACTAACTGTGGTTCTTTGAATGTTGCCTCTACATATTCATGTCAAATACCTATCCTTCCTCTTCTTGGGATTTCTTTCATTAGACTTTTGGTTTTAGCCAAAAAAAAGCTTAAGGCAGTTGGTATATGTAGATCATGCACTATGTTCAGAAAATTCCTGATGCTTGTTGAGAGGAAAGGGGAGAAAAGGGAAAGCATCCTTATGACTATGAATATGCAGAGATAACACTTGAAGGATTTCAGCTGTAAGTTGTGGAGTGTCTTTGAGGTGTGGGGTTATTTTGTTGTGTGTTGTTTTATTAACATCACCTCATATACATAAGTTTTATTTGATAGGCATCTGTTGCCTTGGTGAACTTATTAAATTAATAAATCACAAAGTTTCTGATTTAGAAAGACATCACTAGAGAAATATTTTGATATTTAACATTAATAATGAGTGCCTGCACATCTCTTGTGTTCAAAACTCTCTGTTGACCTTACTGTGAGTTCCTGGTGTGCAGGGTTTACAGAATTAGGCCCTAAAAGTACATACTGATATTCATAAACCAGGCTGCTAAAAAGTGACTTTAAGGTTGTGCAGGGCTGGGCAGGTTGGCACACACAAAAGTAATAATTGTGCACGTAAACAACTGCAAACACAAAGTTGGAGGCCGGCCTGAAGCTGTCTGTAAATTTGACCCTAAATATGAATGTATCCTTTCTCATAATAGCAAATATTCATCCTCTTATTATACTCATTCATATATAACACAGAGTTTGCTGTTGCTGAAAACTTCACCCTTTATATAAACTATCACCAGTGACAGGGTCTTTTACCACCTAGTTTCCAAGGGATTTCCAGTTTCATTGGTGATGGAAGGTAATTAATTTGCACATGTTGTTTCTTTCCTTCCTTTGATAGGGCTGAGTTTCCATCTGCCATCAAATGTCTTTCTGCCTGACTGAGATGCACCTGTGGTCTTTGAAGAATACCCTACATATTAGGGGTAAGTCAACTGTGACCAGATTCCATCCTTCTTTTTCTGAAGCAAAATAACAAAACCTATCAATGAATATTCAAATGATATTAAATTCTAAATACACGTGTGAAGTTTATTTTCAAATCATATAAAGATATTATCTTTGAGCATGGTCAAGTTCCTTATTTATCTCATTGAAGCATCCCTTTAAGTTTTGAAGACTATTAAGTGTACATATAGTTTGGTTCATTTTTTCCTTCTAAGTAAAGCAGCCAGGCATTGCTTTACTATAGGTTTCACTATAATGACTAGTTTGGATGAATGAATATCAGTATTTGAGCTGATTGCAGAGGCATTATAATTTGTACTTTAGATGTAGCAATCCTTTATTGCTCATGCTCTAGCTATTTGGAATAGAAAATTGATATTTTATACTTAGAAGAATATATTTATCTTATTAATCTATCATTCTAATTTTAGGAGTCATTTGAGATACATGACTAATTACCACCCATGTGGAAAAAACCTTTATTCTTCTAACCTTGTTGATGTTAAAATTCAGTGCTCGACAAACCACTGGTTTTGAAGTGTTTGATATCAACACAATGTATATTATGATACCAAGCCCCTATCACGGTTTTAACAAGATGTATTCCAGTAATATTTAAAAACATGCATAAATGTATGACTACTGATTCCCTATCCCTCAGTATTCCTTCTCTCCATAAGAGCATTGTGTAATAACCACATATTTGGTCAAAAGACAGACCAGAAAAAAAATGACAGCCTAAATAAAATAGGTACAATTATCATAATTATTTACAAACATGTTATGGGGCTGCTACATATTAGAACCCTGACCTTTTAAATTTGGCTTCTTTGGAGGAACCAGATCTTTAAAAGATATTTCATTATTTTCAGATCTTTTAGTAATGGATTCCAACTTAAGATGGTTTTGTATATTATTAATGCTATTTATAAAATCACATCTGCGTAGAAGATAACTGTGATAAATTGAAGAGCTATATCCTAACTTAACTTATCATTCGCTCTTGACCACTTCCATCATCTGTCATCAGAGCTTATTTTAATATTCTAAGTCCTTGTACAGATATGCTATTTTATTTTAAAATCAACTGTCCATTGACAGTTGATTACTTCTTTCTTCTCTTCTTGAGGAATTCTTCCAAATTTGCATTCTCCCAATATCAGGATGAGAGAGATTTAATCTTGGGCAAATTTACATTAAAATATTATTACTTTAAAGTCATTACAATAACTCAGAGTGCTCCATAGCTAGAAAGGGGATTGTTGAATTATTGGTAAGGCATCGTGACAAAGTTCAGGAGTATTAAAAATATAATTGTTGCCTTTAGGGCAGTGATGTCAGTCATCAGGAGACATTCTAGACTATTCTCAGATACACCCTCTACCAATGATCATCTCCTTGTGAAAGAACATGAAGAGATGATGATTAGGAAGGTGGTAAAGGGCATATTTCTATATCAGCAGTTGAGGGGAAAACTATAATGGATATGAAGGAAATGACAGTTCGAAGGGAAATTAAGTACTTGTACACATACCCATTGAGTCATTACTTATTGGCTGTTGAGAGTCCCACTTTCATATACCTTATATGGTGTAGGGTAAATAGAGGAAATTGCTTATATACCTTAACATGTTGCTTCCTCTAGTAATACATAATAACAAAATAAAAGGTTCAGTTTCATTTCTTAAGTTGTATTTTCCCAAATGTTACACAACCAATAATTATATATTTTCTCTCATTTATATAGACAGTGATATTGGGATCCATCAGTACTATGACAAAAAAGAAACAGGTAGAGTATAAATTGTATTTAGCTACAGATGAAAAAACTTTCAAATGTTTAATCTACTTTGTTTAGCTAATGGAATTACATATAAACATAGCTATGAATTTCTTCTTACAATATAGAAGTCTTTATATTTCTCTAAAATAAGGAAAGGTAGAAAGTCTCTCCTGAACAAAGAATAAGAAAATATAGAAAAAGAGTTTCTTCTGAGTAATCTGAACCTATTTTTTTTAACATTTTTATTTCATTATATAGAAAGAATAAAGAAATAAATAAATGCGTAGTCTTTAGTCACAAAATACCTTTTATATAGACAGTATAAACCAAACATTGGATCAGTGAGGCTTCAGTGTTACCAAACAATCTTATATGTGGTATAGGACAATTAGTAAATCTAGTTAACAACATGATTTAAATGGATTATTTTGTTTTAGATATGACCAGTTGAATATTTGATTCCAGTAGCTTGTTTATTGGAATCCCAGCAGAGGGCATCATAAACGCATGAGAATGCACTGTCGTTAGTTTCCTGGATCCTTACTTGATATCTGAAATAGGCATTTCAGAGTGAATGATCAGTTTTCTTTATCTGATTAATCCTGTTAATCCTAGAAGTTTCATGACGGGCCAAAAGGTCTTTTCAGCTAGAGTTACTTCCTGTTCCTGGCCAGGTTAAAGTGGAGGCTTGTGTGGGCATCCCATGTACTTAGCTTGGTGGTTAATATGCTGTCTCCATGATTCTGATGACAGACTGACTCAGCTTCTGTTCTGGATTCAGTTGCAGCTCACTTCACTATCTGATCAGATTGGAGGCTCAGTAATATTGGCCCACCTGTTGGGCTGCATAAGCCTTTCTTTCACTGCAAATTTAAAATATCTGACTATGAGGTGAAAACATCAGGTCCATTTTAATTTTGTGCAAATTTCTGTGTTTTATCAAAATATATGAATCGTCTCTCTAATGTATTAATATTTGCTGACAGCAGTTGTGAGGATTATCATTAATCTTTTCATTCTTTTTTTATTTTAGTATCACAAATGAAGTATGGTTACTTAGAAGAGAAGCAACAGCTCATGGAATGTAAGGGCAGTTTCTGACTTCCTTGTTGTAAAACTGCATTATTTTTAATTGCTGATGCCCCTGTCAAAATGCTAAAATAACCCCTTGGCTTCATACTCAATTTTCTGCACATTCCATACAGTAGGAGATAGAACATCATAGAACTATAGGACATAAAACAATAAAAAAGTTATAACTAATTCTTTCTTATGTATATAGATTTTTTATGTCAGTGATCATGTTAGTCCACATTGCTTCTCATTTCCCTTGCCAAAAGAAAACACAAAAATAAACTTAACCCAGAATTCTTCAACATTTTTATCAATGATTTGGATGTGGGGGTGAAGAGCTCATTGGCCAAGTTTGTGGATGACACCAAGTTGTGGGGGAGTGGGGTCACACTCCAAGATAGACTGCAGATACAGGCGGACCTAGACAGGCTGGTAGGTTGGGCAGATCAGAACCAGATGAATTTCAACATTTAAAAGTGTAAAGTGCTCCATCTGGGGACGAATAATCTCCAACATCCTTATAGGCTCAATGGTGCCAAACTGACTAGCACCGTGACTGAAAGGGACCTATGGGTAATAATAGACCATAGTATGAACATGAGCCATCAGTGCGATGCTGTAGCCAGCAAGGCAAAAAAAACTTTGGCATGTATCAACCAATACATCTCAAGAAAAACCAAGGAAGTGATTCTTCCATTTTAGTCAGCGTTGGTATAACCGCAGCTGGAGTACTGCATCCAGTTCTGGGCGCCGTACTTCAACAAGGATGTGGAAAAGCTTGAGAGACTCCAAAGAGACATTCATATGATCAGAGACTTGCAAGGCAAGCCATATGACGAAAGGCTGAGGGACTTGGGCCTCTTCAGCCTAAAAAAGAGAAGGCTGAGACGGGACTTGGTAGCAGCTTACCACTACATCAGGGGAATACATCAAGGACTCAGTGAACAACTGTTCACCAGGACACCCTTGGGGAAAACCAGGAGTAGTGGCCACAAACTCCTGGCAGACCGTTTCAAGCTTAACACTAGGAAAAGCTTCTTCATAGTCGGGGTGTCCAGACTGTGGAATAAGCTCCCTCCAGAGGTGGTGCAATCACCTACCCTGGAAATCTTCAAGAGGAGACTGGACAGTCACCTCGTTGGGGTCACCTGAGCCCCATTGTCTTTCCTGCCTAGTGCAGGGGGGCTGGACCCGATGATCTTGCAAGGTCCCATCCAGCCCCTTACAATCTATGAACCTCTGAATCTTCATATCAAATTTTGTCTTCAGTTTATTAGGAAACACTTAAATTAGTGAATTTCAACTCTTCTAACACAGACCTTTGATGGAAGTAAAATAAATGTTAAAGATCAGCTACATCTATGAAACATTTTTACTTCTGGATATAAATGGTTATGGCATTTTAATTTATTCTGTTGCAAAACATAAAGTTAAATAAAATCTCCCATCCTGAGTTTTGTAATGACTGCAGAGTCGCTAATAATACTATATTTTAGGTTTTTTATACACACACATCTATATGTATACAAATGATAAAACATATAACATACATTATATTACATACATCTCCTGTATTGCATAATACAAAACACATATTACATATATCACATAACATATTACATAAAAGCTATGAAAAATATAATTGCTTTTTATGAAATTTTGCAAGAGTTCCTTTCCTTTAACATTCTATCTCATCATATTGGAATTTAATATTATAGCCAAATTCTTCCTTCAAATACTTATACTGAACTCCAGTTCTCATTAATTCACTGAGAGTTGCACATATGTGTGATTAGAGACAGAATTTGCCCCAGAACTTCAAATCTTCTTGCAACCTAATTCTCAATATGCATGGACAGCTGTTGTTTCAGCAGAACTAATATAGTTGTGCTGTTGGCAGGGCCCAAAATTTAAGGATCCTTATAAGATGTTTACATCTCTTGTGCATCGTGGAACATTGTTCTACATAGACTTCTTGAGAGAAGGGTGGGTTGTGGACAGAGCAGATTTAGTAAATATTGAATGCACTGATGCACCCGCCAACTCCATTCCTAATATGTGATGTTGAACGGAAGCACAAGCTATCATGCCTTGTTGATGTAGTTACTATGATGGACTACATGCATCCACTACTGTTCTGTGGTAAGATAATAATATTCTTCCCTCACCAAGCCTTACTAAACTTATCAGCACACAGCCCAACTGTAACGGTTCTGTTCTAACATTAGGATCACCCTACAAAATTCCATATGACAGTTTTTTAATGGGTACACAGGGTCATTTTGTTCATAAATGCTAATTTGGTATTTGTATGAGTAAGTTCGTATTTTTTGCATATTTAGATACATTGTTTGCTTATATGAAGGAGCTTATTGAAAATGTGATCTTATGTGCCTAATTTGTGTTGTTATAAGACACTGGATTTGGTGTTGATGCTGAATTTGGTCCAGTAGATTATAAAGGAAAGTTATATGTCTGTGTGCTTTTTTTGTTTAAAATGATATGCATAGTACACAGGTGAAGGATTTTTCTAACATTTCTATTGTAAGACCTTTTCTGTAAACTTGACTGTACTAAGTCCTTTGGTCTGAAAGCTGACAGTTTCAAAGAATGCAAACTGACAGTTCAAAGAATGAAAGTTTCAATCAAGTTTCATTTAAATAGTTTAGACATAAAGGTTTTTCAATTTCACATGTTTTTATTATATACTCATGGGGAACATTTGCTCACTTTTAAATAATGACATTTCATAAGTTATTAGAACCCAGTCGTTAGCCAGGAAACAAGCAAATTGTCTTTGACTCCACAGGGAGCTTTGCATAGCTAAAGACTACAGGGTTAATGTCTTAAGCCAACATTTTCAAAATTGTTTGTTGGAAGTTTGACAACTAGATCCAATTAGTGAGATTTTTAGAGATGTATGAGTATCCAGGACTTTCCTATGAGTGATCTAAACAGTCATAGGTGCTGATCTGCACTTTTTTGTATTTTCTTTTTGGCTAGGCTTGGTTTGTCATACTCTTAGGACCATATTTTCTGTAATAAATGCTTAAATTGCTCCTATAAGTAATACACTGCACAATTACCTGTAGACATTCATGCATGCATATTTTGCAGACACAAGTTAATGTCTGCTTTTGAAAATGTTGCTGTTAATGTTAATTTAATGTAATAGTAGCTGTCTAGGATGAATCAGGAAAGAGTTGACCACTTGCATCTCTCTGAGTTGCACATACTGCACTTGGGAGACTTTCCCATGGCAAATGTTTAGCAGCTGGATAGGATATTCTTCCCTGAAAGCTTTATCCCTGATTGCCATGGTGAAATCATGGTAGGTGAAGGTATTTTATGCTCTCTGTTTCTATGACAGAGCCTTTCAAAAGGATATCATTTGACAGTGGAATCTATACCTGCTTCCCTCCAATTATAAATGCATTTCTGTATAAAGTGTATGTTTAAGATCATTCCAATAAATCTTGTTGACTTTCCTCTACACCAAAATTAAATTTAAAAAACTGTTAAAATTTAGTTTTTGACTGTTTTTTTTTTATTATTTTTTTTTATTATTTGCTAGCTCGAGATTATCCTTGGATACTTAAAAACAAACGTCCAGAAAAACTGCGAGATACCCTCAAGGAGCTGGAGGTACCTTTCAGAAAGTTTAGAGTATGGCAACAAATAATCCGGTTTTGAATCCCCTTTCAACAGCTTTAATTTTCATAAAGGATCAGCCCTTCTTGTGATGACAAATGTGCTTTTGTCCAGTGGGCTGTTCCAAAACAGTTGCATCTTTGTTTGTGTGGCATGCTAATCTCTCATGCTTGAAAATCAGAAGCACTTTAACCACTAGTGACAATGTGTACAGCCAACTCCACTCTCTCTATTTTCTGTTGTCCTTCAGGAGTTGATGCAAAACAGTCAGTGTGTGCTGAGCAAATGGAAGAACAAATATGTCTGTCAGGTAAAATGTTTTGACATGATTTTGCAATGTTAAGTCAATGGAGCTGAACAACCAGTCAGTGATTGATGCTATAGTGTTATAATGTTAACTGGTACAGAAACCCTTTGCGGGGGTTACTGTATAGTTTAGATTTATAAACTGAAACAAACAACACAAAAACAAACTCTCTGGTCATTTTCACTATCAAGAATTACATAAAGGCCTGGTTCTTTGAAATGCAAGTGCCTTTGCTTCCACAAGAGTAATGAGAGTTGAGGGTATTAAGTTCCTCATCATTTGGGCCCGTGCAAAATCCAATGTTAAAACATATACATGGGCCAAAATATTTTAATATTATTTTTATTACATATCAACTATTTACATGTCTGCATCTAAATGTTTATTTTATATACAGTGATTGATGATCAGTGTTGTGTAAGAACCAAGATACATTGCACAATATGCCCTTGAACAAAGGGCATTTTGGCATACAGTGAATATTTATCTGTCCTCTATACCTGTATACGTATCTCTGTGATAAATAGTAAAAGGCCTGTTTAGGGCTGTGCGAAGCTTTGATCGCTGATTTGATTCCGAGGAGATTCGGCCCCATTTGGCAGCCCCTCAAATCTTCAGATTCAGCCGAACCTAATCAGGACAGTGATCTGAATCAGCGAATCAAATCGCTGTCCCCCAAATCGGGCCGAATCCAAATCGAATACAGCCCGCTTCACACACCCCTACTGTTCACATCCTTATGAGCATGGGGCAGCAGGGTAAGTAGGAACAGTCTGACATAATGAACTCAAGAGCTTGTTCTGGAAATATAGTTAGTGTATTTTATCCATTTAACATTTTTGGTGCTCGTCAGTGTTTGTGAGAAATGTGTATCATGTTGCATAATCCTTCAGCATGGCAATTACGTTTTTAGTATTGTTACTAATAGAATTCTAAGAAGAAATTTTATACTTTGCACACGCACAATATTTTTCCTTGTAAATATAAATAGTTCCAAATATGTATGGGACTGTTAAATATTAAAATTAACATATCCAAGATGCATGTTAAAGAAACATTTTATTTGTTTTTAACGATTAAAAAATTGTTAAATGTCTGCTATGCTAAATAGAATAAATGGCTTTCTAAAATTTGGCAGTTTAATGTATCAATAGTAAGAAATCCAATTCAAATCCCATTTATACCATTCAAATCCAATGTCTAATAACAGCAAATCAGTCTAGTAGAATTTGTCAATGAATGTTAATCTTTTAAAGATAATTTTAAATATCAACGATGCAGTTACTCAGGACTTCAGAATTTTTCTGGACTTTTGCTAAGGGAAAGAAAAGAGTATATATAAGAGGTACTGAGTCAGGATCAACCCTAAGTGTAATAGTGTCTTACATGGGAAAAAAATTACTATTTGTCTCTTTTCTTTAGGTATTTTGATATATTTCTTCCTCTTTCAAGTCAGTTTCCCCATTTCTTTTTCCTTCCCATTATATGTCTCCCTCTGATCTGTCACCCCTTCTAGGGACTGCTTCCTAGTATATGGACTACTTCCTGCTGGAATTGTATTACACATCCTTAAAACACAACACCTTAAATTGCCCATTTACTTTATGTAAAGGTCAACCCATTGACTTGGGTTACCCTGCTTTCTAAATAGAAAAGAAATGAGAGATTGCTGATTTCTCCTTTTAAATATGTGTTCTGACACTACATTGATGGGGCCATATGAAGGGATACCTAGGCTATTTATATAGGTTTTTGTGACATATTGTATGTGCAAGTTGGCCAGAGTTGAAAAGATATTAATAGTAGGTATTTCTTCACCATCTTTAGCAACTTTTTTTGTTCTCTCCAAGGTATCACAACTCAACAGAGATTTCCTTACAGTGAGGGTTTAGAATTGAACTTTCCCACAGAGATTTAGAAAATTGAGAGAGCACTGCCAAAACAGTTGTGTTATCCTGCTTTCTGTCACCCTTATTGTAAACTGTAGGATCTCGAACACGTGAAGATAATAAAGAGGAAAATTAATCATTGGCAGAACTCTTAGTAGGAAAACTTGCAAAATGCCTACTTTAAAAATGTATCAATTTTTATATCAAATGATATCTATACTCTCTAGATCCTGGTCTTCCTTATAGCATTTTGTAAAGGTGACCAGATCTCTCCCTTCATGATTTAAACAATAGCAGTTGTGAAAAGCATTGTGATCTCTGACAATGCAAACCCATGGTTTTGAAACAGTGACAATGAATTTTAAAAAATGAAAAAAACCTCCCTGTTTAATTTGTTAAACTTTCTGAAACATTACTTGACAGAATGAAAAAAGCTTGAAAATTTTTAATAAATTTCAAATAGGTGTATAATTAACTTCTTAGTAAAAAAGCAAATCAATGGTCTTTATTCCATTTATATATTACCCTGGACGAATAATTAAACTGACCTATATTCTAGTACAGAAAGACACGCTTTACATTAATTTGCCACAGGTAAATAGGAAAGATAGTGAAATATAGTGGAAAGCAGCAAGTAAATGGCAAAGATAGTGAAAAGTAAATTACTTTACACAATACTTATGATTTTCACTGGTCTGGACTAAATTCAAATGTATGACAACATTCAAAGATTTACTTGCTTGATGGTCTCCTCAGCTTTCTGTTCCTCTGATCTTACACAATTTATGGATGGATATCAAATCAGTAAGATTATAAAAAGTTAAAATATTTAAAACCAACAGCCATGACTTTTTTTCTAAATTTCCCAGTGGTATTCCTGAATCATAAGGAGGTTATGTTTTCTCTTGTAATAACGGACTAGTACTGTCAGTGTCTCTCTGTTAGGTTGTTGCCCCTTTTGGCAAGGTAGAACTGGGAGTAAACAACTAAAAAGAGTTGTAATTACTACAGGTTATCATGTGAAGGAGTAATATAGCTTTTATCAGATTTTGTGAGAAGAAAGCATAAGATAATTCTTCATAGGCCGTTGAGACTTCTGTCTGTAAAAAACTAGATCTTCACTGTGCTTCCAGGTTTAACCAGCCCCTTGAGCAAGAAATTAGAGGCCAGATATTTTCAGAAGACTGAACAGGCATGTGGCTACTAGAATTAAATGTGAAGTCACTAGGTTGTATATGCAAATGACCAGTTAGGCTGCATGCAGAGTCATTGTGTAAGGAAATCGTATGGCTAATTCATGCCCATATTTATGAAAATCTGTCCTCAACACTTTAAATTTAATCCAAATTTAATGTACATGACTACCTAGAATTACCACTTAATTATAGGTTAGCTCACACATTTTTAAAGTTTTATTTGATGTCTGAAATCTGCTGCCATCACTTTTTGCGATGTATACGCATGGCACTTCACACTTTTATAGTTACTGCTTGTTCATTGTCAAAAGACTCCACTAACTGTGTTTTTTATTTCTGAAGTCCTGTATATACGTTCAGATATTTCTTGCATCTTCTGGAAATACAAAATATGTCCATTCACATTACCATACTTAAACTGTACTATGCTTTTTTTTAAAGGTTTTGGGATGTTTACAAATGTTCATTTTTACCAGAAGAAATTTCTTCCAGTAGAAAAGTAGCCTGGGAGCTGTACTGTATAGACTTTCATCCAGTCCCATGGATGGAGAGCTTCACAGGTAACTCTCCATTGATAGCCTGTCCGCTCTTTTGCCTAGGAAGGGGAAAGACTGTCCAGTGGCAATTGGCAGCTGCTGCAAACAGTGGGAGGTGGGGGAGGAATTTCCACCCTGAGAAAATGCCCCCAACCCCATCCCACCAGTTAGCTAATTGGCAGGAGAAGGACATCTTCCCATGGTGGGAACCCTCCCAGTTCTCCCTTGCAGAATAGCCTGGAGGAGTGCTGAGTAGAATGAGTGCAGAGAGAGGAAGGGAGCACCCAGCTACAGCAGCAACGCTCTAGGGGCACAGCAGCCATGCTACTCTGGGCTGACCTACAGCAATGCAGTGAGGCAGGGGCATTTCACTGTGGTGGCAAGACGCCTCAGCCTGCTTCCCCCTGCTCTGCTCCAGGTCAGTTGAGTGGTGCGGATGAAGCCAGAGGGGCTGGTAGCCTGGCTAGGAAAAGCATCTGCATTGTTGGCTCTCTGCCCCTCTCACTTGTCCTTGCCCCTCTGGCACACAGCTGAGTGGCAGAAGCAGTGATTTAAAAGCCAGAGGGGCCCAGAGCTGGATGTGCAGAGGCTTTTCGCAGCCTGGCTTCTGGTTCTGAGTCCCTCTTGTCGTTTTGCTGCCAACTGACTGGCAGAGTGACAGTGTAAAAGCCAGTAGCCAGGAACAGGACTTGGAGAAAGCCTCTCTGAACCAGTTCCCAACTCCCCCTTCCCACTCTGCTTCCCAGCTCACTGATGGGAGCCAGCAAAGTCCACTGCCTCTTCCTGAAACCAGGGACTGCCCAGTTGGGGAAAGAGGCAGGGAACAGTAGCTGCTATTCCCCTTACCTCTCAGGATAGGGAGGAGGAACTGCTCCCTGCACCTTGTCAAGACTGGGGTGACTCTGGTCTCAGGAAGTCACAGAGCGTTTTTCCGTGGCTTTACTTGTCCTGGTCCCCAGGATGAGTTAACCCAGGGGAAGGTGTGCAGCTATTCACTCCCAGGAGTGATTTAACCCTGGGTTAAATTGCTGGGTTGTTGCTAAGTTATTTTTCTCCTGGAGTGGCCATTTTTGCTTCAGGGAAAAAACCCTGAATGTCTGCACACTCCAGGTTTCTGCTGGGAGAATGGCACTTCTTCTGATAGAAACTGAACATCTGTACCTGGCATTGATATTTCCATTTGAGAGAGTTTAGTAGAGCCCTAAGGGGACTAAGCTCTGTTCTCTAGCTCTGTACCTAGTAGTCCCAACAGCATCTGAATATACACTATTTTAGTAGTGCAGTTCAAAATATAAACTTTGATGACATATGATGAGCTGCTGAAATAATACTGTACATTTCTGTGAGTTGTTGTCAAAAGAAAAAAATAAATAGATGCATGG